GGCATAGTAAGGGATGGCATGGACCAGGTCACGGAGGGTCACCCCCGGCTGCATCTTGCCTAGGCTCTTCAGTAAGCCCTCTGGAAAAAACTAACTATATACTTTGTTTTAGGTTAGTTGTAATATACTAGGAACCCAAAAAAGAAAAAGGTATATACTTTGTTTAGGGTTAGTTGTAATATACTAGGAACCCAGGAACCCAAAAAGGAGAAAAGTATGCTACGGAGCAGCCTAGTTGCCACTGAAGCGGACCAGCACCGACTCGGGCATGTTCAGAGGCATCCTCTCTTCTTCAACAACCAGGTCCAACAAAAAGTGCAAACTTTCTAGGATAGACCAAATATATAAGCCCTAAACCCTAAACCCTAAATATATAAGGCCAAAAAGATTAAAGTTGTTCCATTGGCTATCTAAGCATCACGCCGGTGGCCGCGCCGAAAGCCACGAGCCCAGAGCCGGCTGGGAAGGAGATGCCCAAAGGGAAGCGAGTGTGAGAGTCTCCTCACTTTGGGTTTAGGGCTGCAGGGTTTAGGAGTTTAGGGGTTTAGGGTTAAGAGTTTCGGGGTTTAGGGTTGAGGGCTTTCGGTTTTAGGGTTCAGGGTTTAGGAGTTTAGGGGTTTGGAGCTTAGAGTTTTTATTCCTTGTCCGTCATGTTCCTAGAACGAAGCCACATAACCGGGGGTGGTGCAGGAAGCATCGAGCTGAGCTTTTAAGTCCGCCGGTGAAGCGTTTAGGGGCGAAAGTCTCCTCCCTGCCTAGGTTCCTCAACGCCTCTGAAAATTATTCGTAAGTAAGATCCTCTTAAGAGCAATAAGGGAAACTTGGTTCACACCTTTGCTCCCCTGCGGTTCTTTAGTCTTGGCTTTGGGGTTGACTCTCCTCCTAAACCCTAAACCCTAAACCCTTTACTCTCCTCCAGTTCCGACCTCATCTGGCAGAAGCATTCGGTTCAGCCAGGAGTGGATGATTCCGTCGCCGGGGCGCAGGGCCACGCCGCCCCGGTCGGCGATGAACTTGGGCAGGGTGCGGTGCGTGATCACATCCACAGGCTTCGGGTAGGCGGCAGTGTGGCAGAAAGACTGCATCACGAGGTCCGCCTGGAAGCCCAAGCAAGCCAAATCCTTAAGCTCATCGCGGGTCATGGGCCCGGTGGTGTCCTGGGAGCCCACCGTCCCCATGCGGGGCTCGCAGTAAGCCTGGGTTCTTGATAGGGAACTTGCTGTAAATTACAACAATAATGCAAAACGATCTTTTTGCCATACATGCCAGTAACTTAAACAAATTAAGCACCAAACCCAAAACCCAAAGCTCCTGAACAAGGACCGAGAAGCACCCGGCACCACACCATCAACGCCACAGGCCCTGCCAACCATCTTCTGAGCCAACGTGAAACCCTTCACATTCACATCTGGCTGGGCCATCCTGGAATCTGGTTGAAAGTGTTTAGGGTTTAGTGTTTAGGGTTTGGGGTCTAGGGTTTACTTTGCTGAAGAAGCAACAGGGATGCTGGGTTCTGGTTTCAAGTACGAGGAACATGGTCCTCGGGTTTAGGTGGAACGTCATGACAACGACTATGCCCAAGAAGCCACGAGCTACTATGTAGCCCGGCTATGCTCAATCTTACCCAAGTTCAGCGTAAGAAACCCCTGTACACACCCCTTAACAAGAACCCCTAAACCCCAAACTCTATCACCCCGAAAGCCCTTAAAAGGCACCAGGGATCTGCTTGAAGGTGGTGGACATGCCCAAATTGAGGCTCTCGCGGGCCTTGTTGGTGAGTCCACGGCCGATGATCAGCGGGATGCGCCCGCCCGCCTGCACCTGGTCCAGCATCAGCCCGTGCCTGTCTTAATGTGCAGGGCTCCGGGGTTTAGGGTTTATAGGGGTTTAGGGCATGCTAACTTACCTTCAACGCACAAGAGCCGTAAGAACCCAGGTGCTTCAGGTCGAACTTGGTGATGACCTCGTCGGTGCCATGCTTCTTGACAACCTGGGCTTTTTTTCAGGAAATGCTGAGCTGCATTGATAAGGAAACCATAGTATCATATTTTTCTATAGATCCCAATTGTGGTACCTTACAAAAAGACAGTTCCCTAACAACAACCCAGTAACTTGGTCATACACGCAAAGGTCGATGAGGTCGCCCATGTTCAGGTCCTTGACATCCATCTCCAAGGGCAGCGCACCGGAGTCCTCCATGGTATTGAAAAAGATGGGTTTAGGGTTCAGGGTTTGAGGGTTTCGGGGTTTTGGGGTTTAGGGTTTCGGGGTTTAGGGTTTGAGGTTTTACCGGGGTCCTCCATGGTATTGAAAAAGATGGGCGCAATAACGCCGCCAATCACGAAGCCGCCGGTGCGCTTGTTCGGGGCGCAGGGGATGTCCTGGCCCATGTACCAAAGGATGGAATTCGTAGCCGACTTGCGCGAAGAGCCAGTGCCCACAACGTCTCCGACATAGGCGAGCTGGTGACCCTTCGTTTTCAGGTCTGCGATCTGCTCGGAGGCATTGGTGATGCCGTCTCGAGGAAACTTCAGCATCGCCAAGGCGTGCAGGGGGATGTCCTTACTTGCCCACCACCGTATAAACCCTCCAAGAGCCTGGCACCTTTTTAAAACCCTTGCCCGGCCTTGTCGAAAAAACCGAAACAAAGGGTACTCATAGGCCTAAACCCTAAACCCCTAAACCCCTAAACCCGAATCCCGGCAACCCTAAACTCCTAAACCCCTAAACCCTATGACTCCTAAACCCCTAAACCCTATGACTCCTAAAACCCTAAACCCTATGACTCATAGGGGACCCTAAATCCCTAAACCCTACACCCTATGACTCAGAGGGACCCTAAATCCAAGTGTCTGGACGTGACCAGGCGTCCGGGGCCGGCGACAGGTCATCGGTGTTTGTCTCACCGGTAACCTGAGCTTTTTAGGGTTTAGGGGTTTTGGGTTTAGGGCTTTAGGGTGTAGGGTTTATAATGGTTAGGGTTAAGGGGTTTAGGGTTTAGGGGTTGTTGAGTTCATAAGCACCAAGACAAATTTACGCTTTTTCAGTTCTATAAGGGATCATACTATCCCAAAAAGTTTATAAAGCGTGGTAATTCAGCTCCGAAGTAACCTTGAAGACGCAGAGAGTCACCTTCTCCGGAACTGTGGGGCGACTTGTGAACCAATCCGCATTTGCCCAGGACTCAACCACCTGCTTGGCAAAAGGGTTGCCCTTCTTCATCTTGTCCTCGACGTCATGACAAGCGTAGACCTAAACCCTAAACCCCTCTCTCGCTCTCTCTCACAGGTGCCCTAACCCTAAACCCCTAAACCCTAAACCCTCGTCCTCGACGTCATGATAGGCGTCGAACATCAAGATCATGCGACTGAGGCCTTTGACGGCGCCGGAGGCAAGCTCGGGGTCCAGGTCCAGGGCCTCCACGAGTGGAGCGACGTTGTAACCTCCCTGCATCCATCCGAGCATCTCCACCGCATCCGCCTTGGAAACCAAGGGCGTCGAGACGGTGCCATGGATGATGTCGCGGAGGAAGTTTGCCTTCACATAGCTGGAGTCGTCGACACCCGGGTTCACCCGGTTGCGCAGGAGGTCAACGTAAAAAGCACCATCGGCAGGAGCCTTCTTCAGCATCTCGACCACAGATTCGGCTTGGCTGGAATCCAAGGCCAAAGGTGGCAGGCCGCCTCAGGGCGGGTTCTGAACAGAAAATAAACAACGGCCCTTTTTCCGCAGTAGGACCTCCTTATAAAGAGCGTACCTTTAGCCCGGACCACTTTAAGAACAGCCCCCGGAAACCCCAAACCTTAACCCCAAGCCCTTAAAGGGAGAAACCTTCCCACCTTCTGCGGCACGGTCCTTTTTTACACCTGGACTATGCACATGCCAGGAACCGAGGCGCCGACTGTGCTGTGGACTCGTACCACACGGCTACCCCAGATTGCAAAAACTGATCAACTGGTCATCCCAAGTTTCAGGATGCAACGACCATGTGGCTACAACTCCAAGATCCTTAAAGATTCGGGATGTAATTGTCCTAAACCCTATACCCTAAACCCCCCAACCTTCACCCCGAGCCCTTAAAAGGGAGAACCTTTCCCACCTTCTGCGGCACGATCGGCCACATGAGCCTCGTAAGCCGCTTTGAACGCTTCCGGCTGGGCCGAGAAAGCGCGGGCGTACTGTGCTGGCAGGGCCCGCTGCTGGACGACCTTGGCTGCCTGGAGGTCTAGGGATGCTCATATATGTGTATAACATCAAACACATGTTCATATACATACATAAATACATGTATATGTATATATATATATATACACACCTACATAGCGAGAGATTTATCTAATATGGTATAAATACGCGTATGTGTGCGTGTGTCTCTATGTGTGTATATATATATATATATGTGTGCGTGTGTGTGTGTTTGTGTGTAAAAGTGTATATTATATATATATATATATTATATATATATATATCTATCTATCTATCTATGTCTATATATATATATGTGCGTGTGTGTGTGTGTGTCTGTGGCTATGGCTTAGGACTGTTATGGTTTAAAACCTAGGGCCGCAAGGTTTAAGGCTTAGCTAGGTTCTGGACCTCGTAGCTCGAAATCCTGAACCCCGGAATCCGAACTCCGAAATTTAGGGCTTAAAGGGTTTAGGGGACCACGTAAGGCTGTAATCCTGCCTTGGCCAGCGGAAACCTGCGAAATGCCCGCATCATGCTTGCGAGAAGGGGCGGAGCTTTCGGGGAAGAGAGGCTGTAGGCTGCACCTCGCTGATACTTGCGCCAAAATGGCTGTGGGGTTTGCTGGATCATGGGTCGTTTTGACAGAACACGTGAGGTTCAGAAATCGGGAACTGCCAATGAACCCTCTGCGGAATCCAAAGCTGAAAGTCAAATCAAAGGTGTTTGTCCCAGTGTATAGGGGTTTCAGCACTCACTAGGGGTTTAGGGTTCAGGGGTTTGAGGCTCGGGGGCAGATCTGAAGCAATGGAGAAGATCCGTGTAGATGAGGAATCCTTCAAGATCGCGCTGGCTCGAGACAGTCAGCAGCGTTGGCTATGCAAGGCAGTATAGCTATTCCTGCATGCTACGCGCGCAAAACCCAGGGCTGGCGATTGGCAATCGGAGGAGCAGAGTCTCAGTATGTAAAGCTATAGATAGACATGTTGGCGTATAGTTCCTTAACAAACGGGAGGTACTGTTATTATGAATATTAGCATTGCTATTGCGATTAGAAGATAGGAATAATTAACCAGTAAGCGTTCAGAGCACCTCTCTGCACGCCCCCTAAACCCTAAACTTAAACCCTAAACCCTAAACTTAAACTCTAAACCCTAAACCCTAAGCTGCCTCGGGTTCGAAGATGGAGGCGCGGACACGCATCTTCCTGTGCGGAGGCTCAGGGTCGCACTGCGAACAAGCATGAAGGGGTTTAGGGTTCTAGGGTTTAGGAGTTTAGGGTTTGGGGTTTTAGGGTTTATAGGGTTTCGGGTTTAGGGTTTTAGGGTTTAGGGTTTGGGGTTTAGGGTTTGGGGTTTGGGGGGTTCCGGAGACAACGTAGTCATCTGAAAAGTCTTAGAAGGTTGCTTTGGAGTAGGTTGCATTGTAATCATAAGACGGAGCTCTCCAGAACAGTGTGCTTCAGTCCCCAGGCTTCTACGCATAGGCTCCAAAGCAGTTCCTTTTTGGGGTTACCTTAATTATAGGATCCTAAATATAAAACCACAAGAAGGAACTACTTTGGAGCCTATGGGTATGTTATGAAACTCAGGGGTAAGTGAGGTGCAGGGCAGCTGTTCTGCAAGGCTCCTGGTCTCGGCTGCTTCGTCCATCTGCTTTTGGTTCTCCGACGGACAAGTGGCAGTCTCCTGCACATGTGGGGTGTAAGCTGGTTTAAGTATGCCGGGGTTTTGAAGGGAAATGGCTCGTAGGTCGTTCTCTCTCTTCTCTCTCTCCCTCTCGCTCCCTCTCTTCAGGCTCTCCACGAACTGTAGACATACGCTAGAAGTCACAAGCAGTGATAATAGCAGCGAAGGTAACGTGCTACCCATGACAAGATGAACGAACGGAGCAAGGCGCCCACGGTCTCGCAATTTAAGCAGGACCTAGGACTCCGGCCTTGCCTAGAGCCGCCTGTGTCTTACCGTCCACAGAACCCACATTTTTCGGATCCCTTGCTGTGATTTCCTTGAATAAGCTTTCGGGCTGGGCTTAGCACAAACAGCACCACCCTCCGACAAGGCAAGTAAGAGAAACCTGAAACGGTGGACCTCCTCCTTTTCGGGCACCACGGCGCTGAAGGTGCTCCCTGCCCAAGATGCGGAGGTGGGTCCATGCTAGTACGCAGGGGCAGCTATTAGGAAGTTTAGGGTTTAGTGCCAAACGACTACAAGCAAAAACAAGGGGAGAACGGACCGGAAAGTTCACCTTGCACCACAAAGATGAGCCCATACACTCAACTGTCGCCCCAAGCCCGAACCAGTGTTCAACACACATCAAGCAATAAAACGATACTGCAAGATGTTAGGAAAACCCAATCCGGCGCGTAGGGCAAGCCACCAAACCATCTCACATTTGTAGGACCTCTCTGCGTGAACCCGAAACCCTTTCTCCACAGGCTTGAACTGAGCTCGCCCCGAAACCCGAAACCCTGAACTCTCACTTTGGAGTCCAGGGTATGATAATCCTTACCAGGCCTGACCAGAAACCCTCATGTAATGCATGGGCCTCAAGACTAATTGAGGAGGTATGGTCTACTAGGGTTCTTTATAATAGGAGATCCTCAAGAATAAAGCAAGTACTTGTTCAGGCTGATATGGCATCATGCTGGGGCAGTGAAGTGGAAGTGCAGCCGGTTCAGGACGTTTTGGGTTAGGATTTCGGCTTGAAAATTTGCGGACGCTCACACACGGAAAAGCTTGCACGGACTGCATCGATGCTCTGCCAAGGTGATCCACTGTTCTATTGCCGTCGTATGAGCTACGAGCATAGACAAACACCCCAGCGACAAAGGAATAGGGAGAGGGACCTTAATGTAGACGCCAAACAATCGGCTCCATGTTGCAAGAGCTCGAGTTCTGAGAAACCCCGATATGGGAGTTTCCGACAATTAGGGTACCTTATTTTGGGGTCCTTATAATCAGGAGCCTACTAACTAGGGTACTATATTAGGGTCCCCTATTTGCCCTATTTTCGGAAACCCCGATATGGAGCCTGGCAGCAGCATCTCCTCCTGCACCTGGAAGGAATCTCTTGGTGCCTCAGCAATGATTCCTTTTTACAGCAGGCCTCGTGCGCAGCAGCCCGGTCCCCAGCATCACTCGCTCACGGCAGCAATGATTCCTAAACCCGGAACACTCGGGATCAGAGCGCTCCTGGATTAGGGCCGGGAATCCACGGCTGACATGGCTTAATTAAGAGTGTTTAGCCTTTGGGGCATTTAAGAGGTTTTCGTAGGGTCGTGTATCACGTGCGCGTTGTCGCCTGCTTGTCCGGGTCTCGCAGACTGCTGAGGTATTCGGCCGGCATAAAAAACGATTGGCCTTCAAGTTGCCGCATACTCTCGAGCGGCTTGGTCCTCGAGCGGCTTGGCCCCCCACGCAGATTTCAGTAAAGTGTTGAATGGGGTCTTCGGTCTGGGGATCGTAAGGTTTCAGTTAACCCAAACAAGAAACATCCCTCCCCAAGCCCAAAGACAAAGAAATTCCCGGAAGCCTAAATCCAGAACACTAAAACCCTCCAAAAAGCACTGCAGTCCAAGGGCCTCCCTGGCAGCAGAACGCGCCCCCTGCCTGTCATTCAGGTTTACACGGCTTTAGGGCTTTAGGGTTTAGGGGTCTAGGGGTTTTTGCCCTCTCGCATGGCTGCGGATCAATGCCCACTAGCGAGGTCAGATTGGGAGGACCAAAGTTCGAAGGCCTCTGTACTAGACGAAAGTGATCAGACCATGAAGGTTCCTAGCCCTAAATTTGTGTTTGGTGGGCAGGGTCTTTTTTTGACCTTGTTTGGGTTCCGTCTTGACCTCGTTGGCGGGGCTGGCTGGCGGCTGGCGGCTGGCGGCTGGGGCTGGGGCTGGGGCTGGGGGCTGGGGCTTACGGCATTGGGTTCTGTGTCTTGTGATATCACACACGAGACACGGGGCCACGATTTGCGGGCATTGGGTTCTGCGTCTTGGAGCTGGGGCTGGGGTTGGGGGCTGGGCTGGGCTGGGCCGGGCTGTTGGGGCTGGGGCTGGGGCTGGGGCTGGGCTGGGGGGCTGGGGCTGGGATCTGGGCTGGGGCTGGGGCTGGCCTCCTATTTGAGGGGGGGGCGGCATCTTCCATCAAACCAGGAACCACATCTTCATGTTTGGGGCATGAGTGCCTTGTCCCCTGGATACACCGGCCAGCTGGCATTCGGACATGGCTGCTGCGCCCCAATGGATACACTGGTGGCGTGGATGACCGTTTGCTGGTACCTTCGTGGCATGCACTGAGTGCATGGAAGTTTTCCTGGTTCCGGCATGGCTGCGACGGGAGGCACTGGTAGCGTGGGTCTGCCCCAATGGAT